TTTTTTTTTTTTTTTTTTTTTTATTTCTGGAGCATTTGTTAGAAGGGAAAATCACATTTCATCTCCATCGTTACAAGCATCAGAATGAAAAGGAATTTTAGCTGGGGGCTTATCCATCCCTGAGCGGCCGGGAAGTAATTGGTTTAAAAAAAAAAATCCGTCTCGAGCAGTCTCAGAAATTACTACAACGTGCTGTTCAAGACTGTATCCCCTCGGCCTCACGATGCTTTAAAGCACACGTGGGCTCTCCAACCAAAAACTCAGCCTCGTAAATCCTATGTTCTTGTTTGTCGAAATAAAAGTGGTTTTTGGTTTTGGTTTTTTAATTCTGCTCTGTTTGGTTTTGTTGGTTGCTGCCGCACGTGTCTGTCATGGGATGTTTCCCAAAGCGCCATCCCAAATTCCTGGGATGTGGAACTGGTGAGGCTGGGTCTTTTCTTGCTCGCTGCTCTGCTCTGCCAGGCCTGAGGCTGGCGATGGGCACCACCTGCCCATGTCTTTCCACACAGAAGAGGAGGTAACTGGTGGCTTCTCAACTATCTGTAGAGCTATTAGGGAAGCCCCATGTTTGCCTCAGGACATGGTTTTGGAAATCACACCTGCAACGTGAATATATTTACTTGCGGGTTAATTTAAAGAACTTTTAGTAACCTTAATTGGAGTTATGTCAGCGTTAAGAAAGCTAGGGCCATCTCCACAGCTGTGTGTGCATCCGGAGCTGTCCCTGTCCATTGAGGTGASATATGGGAGCAGCAGGAGGCAAAGCTGAGGAATAAACTTGTTGTACTTGTTGTGCCTTTCTGGATGCCTTGATTTAAGTAAGAGCTCGAGCCCTCACAAGAGAGAGAGGGACCATACCAGGTCACCTAGTCCATTCTCCTTGCCTCAGGTTAGGAATAACCAGATCTAAATCCCCTTGCCCTGTTTGCGGTCTGCTATTTGTGACTGTCACATCACGAGTGGAAAAGAAAGCAACTCTAGATTTGATTTGGTTGTCACTCTGAGCCACTCCCAGAGCAAGCAAAGTTTGGCCCCTGCCCTGCACTGAAACCTGGGGGTTTCAGGGGTGCAGAAAGTTGTGGGTGTTAYTCATGGTGCTTAAAGGAGTGAGGGGCCTTGGCTCCAGAGGTGACCTCTTTGCCCGCCGTGGATGTGAGCCCTGCTGCTGCCACCCTTGCTGCAGTTGTCATTGKCCACCGCTCTGCCCACATGGGGTCCTTTGCGCTGGTGACACTCCTGGAAATGCCTCGAGGACTGGCYGTGATCTCTAAGGCGAGGTACAACAATTCTGCACACACAGCTCTGTCATATTTCTAAGCGTAGACGAAAACTGACTTTATCCACAGCTGGATATAGATGTTGAAGGTGATCACAAGCAGATTCCATTGGTAAAAAGCAAAATGTGCCTCCTTATTAAATTAGAAGAGCTTTAAATGTTGCAGAGAAGCAGGAAAGTTAGTGGCCTTCTTGTTTCAGTTRCAGTGCGGGGTCCTTTCCAGATACCTGCAATAATGGGTGCAATGAGGAGGAGTGACTGGCACTGCCCAAACTACGGGTAACTTCTGTGTCCCACGTGCCTACACGTAACTCAACTTATAGTTTCTTCATTTCTAGTCCATAAAACACCATAGATACTATCCTTGGCAGCCTGTCGATTCTATAGGGTGCTCAGGAAAGCAATGAAAGTCAAGATATCTGTGTGTTTATCACAGACCTCACAAAATACAACAGCTGATAAATGCCTCATCAGCGCACTAAGTGGTCAGGTGACTGGGGAATGATTGAGCAGCATTGCTCTGGTCCCATATATTGGTCACTAATGAGATCAAAGTCTGGTTTTCGGCAGCTTTACAACTCATCGGTAGACCAGACGTCTAGCAAAACATTTGGTGAGTGAAATCCTCTTGAAGAAAAATTGATAATAGCGGATCTTGCATCATTAGAACTGAACAAATTCTCTGTTTTCCCTTATGACAYCGTATCAGCTCAAGTCACCTTGAATAGATCTTTACAGTGCTTCTTTGACATAGAAAACTCACATTCTGGGGCCTATTTTTATTGAGTGTACTCAGTAAAAGTTTTCTGGGAAGGTAAAGCAACTAATTTACAAGCTCCAAGTTAGARGTTTGCTTTAACCTCTTCTTTTGGAGCTTTTGTGATATTACTCACAGGAGTTGTTCTGTGGCTGCCTGTAGCACGGGCTACCTTTGCTTCTTAGTGTCCTGCAAATATTCAACCCAATTTCTCTTAGACTGTCCCCTTGCAACACTGAAGAGTCCCCAAGGTCGTTTCCTTCCGAGCATCTAATTTTCTATGTTCTGTAGGAGGCCACATGACAAAAGTAATTAAAACTGTGACATTCCATAGGGTTTAGACATGTCATAACATTGCAGAGGGATTTCAGTGGTATTCGGGATTAATGCCTTTTCACTGAGCAGCTTCTGACATCCTCAACACTTTCAAAGATAGCAGATCTATGTAAAATCCAAACAAACAGAAGATTTTGCTCCTTTCTACACACACTGATTTGTTATGGCAGTTCTGATCATAAMAGGTATTTTACTGGTATTCTTCAATGAAAGAAGCTTTCATCATTTATTAAATAAGAAAGGAGAGAATACACACAGAGTTTGCAAAACGGGAACCTTGTAAGATCAGTCAGGTTTTCTACCTGTGGATCTTCAAGCACCTGGCAGAGCAAAATGAATGTCAGCCAGGTTGAAACCCTGTCCTTTCAGGGCAGGTGAGTGTTATGATTATGTCCCAACACCCAGTACCTGCAGTGATGCCTCCGGTTTGGTGTCTGTGAGCGGCTACTGGTCTGGCAGCTTTTCCTTATCACTCAGTCCCTTCCACAGGACTGCACTGGAATTCACAGGTATCGGGGTATTCCAGAAGTGCTGCATGTCGCTGCATTTGGTATGGAAGAGCATTACTTTGAAGAAATAATAAATGAGCTGCAGAAAGTTTTACTAATTTATTTGCCCCTTCTAAGAAACGATGATAGCCCAGGAGTAACTAATTTCAATCAAGGTCTTTCTGCTTCTGAAAATCTTTCTTTTTTGTTTCAACATACTTTTCCTATTACTATTTCCTCAATATGTGTGTGATTTTTAAAAACAAATATTCTAAGCAAAATTATTTTAAAACAATAGATTTTAAAGAAAAAGCTTTTTTTTCCCCATTTTTTTCCCTAAAAGCAGTGTATTTTGGGCTAAATAAAGATGCACCAAGGAAGTACTTCATTTTCTGGATTATTTGGGATTTTGGAAAATCTAAGGCCATTTTAAAGTCCAGCATGGGGAAGTTCAGGAGCTGACAAAATGCCATGCTCACGTAATGACTAGTGGCAGATGATGCAACAGGTTAACTGGCTAATCTTTCACACAAGGAGGCCAAGTTAAAGTCTGACCTGGATGAAACATTATGTAACTTCTTCAGTTTCAGACCACAGTAGCCTGAACAGATGATAGCTCACAATTTAGCAAGATTAACAAGCTCTCTTACAGCAAKGTCAAACACTCTAACAGCAGGACTGGCAAGGATAGGCCACGGCAGAATTTTTTAGGAGTTTCCCAGTTCCTGAAATAAAGTGTATCCAGATGCAGCCCTGAAGTTAACCAGATTGACAAGAAATTCATTCTTCTAACACAGATGTATTTACGTTCATTTTTGCAGTGCTCTCATGACAGCTACAAGTGCCATCTGTGTCAGATTTTCAAAGTCTGGACAGCAAGAAATTGTCTTTTCCAGCAATCACTGCCTTGATAAATTCCAAGAGTGAAATCAATGAGATGTGAGGGAGCAGAAAATCTGTGGGATACCAATCAGAATATATATTTGTATAGGGGAGAAGCAAGCTCATGTGAGACACTTGATAGCTACAAATTAGATTATCTTAGTCTTGCTCCATTTTCTTTGAATTTTATTTTGCTCTTTTTCTTTTCCTTTTTGTTGTTGTTGTTGTTGTTGTTGACAGAAAGTGCTATTTTTCAGGGTCTTTACAATTCTCAAACTCCTGGCCAATTTCTGCTCTTGTGCGTCTCCCACTTGGCACGTGTTCCTGCTGAAACCACAGGTACACTGCTGGTAAAGTCACAAGTCAGAACTAGGAAAAAAAAAATCTGTCTCTCATTTAATGCAAAACAGTTTCCTTTAGTACAGTTTCTGGTGATTCTGTCTAGTAGTTAATAAGATATTTATTAGAAGTCAACTGTTTAAAGTTACCCTGTCAGGAAACTTGACAYGTTCCTTTACTTCATTCCTTTACCGCCTACAACATTGTCCTAAACAGTTGCTTACATTTTCACTGTTGTACATAACTTTCAGGTATCTGTAACGCYGCCTTCCTCTTCAGCTGCTAGTGAGCTAAGATACCCAGCTCTTTTATTCTTTCTTGGTTCATTTGCAGGTTGCTTTTCTGGATCTCCCTCCAGATCTTCTTGATCTTGTATCTTCTTGATAGTCTGATGTCGGAAGAATATGATGCTCATGATATACATGTGCTGTCTCATGTATGTATTCTCAAGTATACACAGAAGGGCTTTTTCAGTTAATGAACTCCAAGTTCATAAACAGAAAAGTTTGTCATTTACCCTTAGATCYAGGTTTCATATAGAAATAAACTGTCTCACTTCATTTGTGGATGGCTCCACTGTTAAGCACCAGTAAGGAATTGAAACACTAGAAAGAATGTTTAACAGGAGACAGTAACCTAAACTATTTTGATTCTATAATTCAGTTATCTGCTTTGTCATCAGACAACGATAAACCAACAGAATAKTATTTAAATATTTGTTAAATAAATTGATGAACTAATTAGGGGGATAAACATTAAATTCAGCACAAGGTTTACCTTGGAATAACAGTATCAGTTCCAAGGATTATTCATGGTGCTTTCAGCTAGGGTTAACTAACACCCATGCAATAGAGCAGCACTGATTTTGAAGGGGCTGTGCTGCACTTTGCCAAACTCACTTGGGAAATCCTAACTAAGAAAAATCCCTAACTGAACTTGAGAGGGAAATATGTTTTGCATGAACTACAACTTGTTGCTCATATGTTTTGACATGCTATGGTTGTAAAAGATGCTAGCTGTGGTGCAGGGGAGACTAAACTTTCTTGTCCTATGGGAAGTATCTTAATGTAGAATTCTGCTGTCAGTAAATAACCAGGATAACATACATATGGGCAGCGGAAAACGACTTTTCTATATAAGGCCCTTTCAAAAATCAGCATTTCCCACTGACAAAAATAAAAGATCCAAATGTGCAAGTAGGTATTTGAGTACACCTTTATTTTTTAGGAATTCTCAGTGAAGCCTAAAAACCTTGTGACCACCCATCCTTCCCCTGGTACCACTACAGCAATARCACACGCTCACAATCTTCCTGTGCCTTCACCAGCTACATTTTTTCAAATGAGACATCTGCCACTGACAAATCTTATCCTTTTTAGGCTTGGTTTTACATCACTCACCTTCTAGGTGCAGGCAAACCAGGTATTAGGCGCCCGGTGTGTCTGTACKTACCTGTGTCACACGAGTCCCAGGAGTGTCAGAGATGGTGCCAACGTCTACGAGGTCGGTTTGTGGAGTAGAAGGCATCGTGACACTCTTCTCCACAGGCTGCTTAACAGAAAGCACAATAACAACGGTCAGACTTGGACTGCAATGGAGTTCTGGGCAATACACCAACCACTAGGTTTGCTCTAAAAATCTTTCATCCCAGAGAACCTTATTTTGTTTTGCAGAATGGCAGCACGATTTCCCCGAGAGGAGAAAGGCACACCCTGAGTTTATGCAGTTTGAGGATTGTAATTCCCTTGTATTGGCCCTACCTCTATGGAAGAAAACAAYCATAAAAACCGGGATATAATTCCTCAGTCTTTTCACATGCCTAATTCCCAATGACTTCAATGAGCATTTCTGCCACTACAGAAATATTCCTAATAACTGGCATGACTTAACTTGTTCCTTCATGTAATGTTATGGTCTACTTAAATGTCAAACTGTATTTTCTGCATAAGCAAAATGAATATAATAACCCTCTCTCCTCAACTAGGTCAGGATTTTCTTTTCTGTGGGGCAAATTACWGTAAAACATAGAAATTTCTTGTCTTCTGCTTTTCATGTTTTGCTTACTTTCATGTGCAGTTTCCAAAGTGTCTACAGGTAACTAAAAAGTACACATTAAGTTTCTGCTTTGGTGTCTACTATCTACTAATCTACTACATCTTACTATATCTGTGGTATTATCTGTCACCCTACGCACAATTTGAACCACGTAAAATTTCAACTTGGTATCATTTACAGTGGAAAAACGGGTATTTCCTGTGGCTTGATTATGAGTGAGAAAAAAAAAACAAAAGGGGAAAGAAAATGAGTCACAGTAGGAGTACTGATACTAAACGAAACTGTGATGTGGCTGTATTAAGTAGGGATCCTTCAGTGCATTCCAATTAAGAGCCATTTCACTCTTGTATTTTTTTTAATCTTAGAAATCTCTGTAATGTCAGTTTTTAAAACCACATTTACGTGTAGTAGCTTTATGTATGACCTTACGCCTGTATTTGGGCACATAAAGGGCTTGCAGAAACCAAAGGCAAACAAGTAAAATAACAGTCTCTCTAGCTGGAGGGTCTGTTTGCTGGTTTTTGAGACTCTGGAGTTTGAACACGACTCTGTGGGGTTCGTGTGGGTGAACGATCACTTTTCCTGGAACTGAGGCTGATACCTGGCTCCAGAAATCACTGCTCAGGGTAGTGTGGCTGCAGCTCCAGCAAAAACAGTCTCAAACCACGATTCATCACTTCAGCAACTGAGCTGGCTTGCCTTTAGGCTGCATTCTTCTATTTTTCAAATTTCTATTTTCCACACGTAACACGCACAATTTAGGCCTTTGGACAAGCTCCATCCCTTCCACAGTTTTCTGCTCCTCTGAAAAGTGCATGCATGGCTGAACCTAAAGCATAAGTGCCCTTGAGAAACACTGCAAAAAGGTTGGCAAGAGGCAGCTGGTGAACAAGAATCCAGCCTAAGAAAGATGAGAAGTAACTTATTTTTGTGCTGCACCATATATATAGTACATTATATACATTATAATTTAACTTATTTTTACCTGTAGCTAAAACAGGTAAAAGGTATCATTAGCATTACTTCAGCAAACTGGAAAGCTATTTACGACACTGAGAAAATGCTGAGGTTTTGCAAAAAGTAGGTTTATACCTGCATTTTTTATCCAGGCAAATCCTCATTGATCTCATGTTCTGCAGATCATAGTCTGCCTTACTCAGCTATATGATGCATATGCATAAAAAACTAAATGGTGTTTTTTTTCCTTACACCAGGGATGAACTAAAGCAGAGTATAACTCCTCAAAACAGGTAGGCAGTTGCTTATTTTCAGCCCTAAGGTTTTAGCCATGTCACAAAAATTCCTATTTTTGACTGGAAGTCAAAGGGTTTCAATTACTCCTAGGCAATTACTGCTTCTGGACTTAACAAAGAAGCTTGGCACGATACAACCATGTATTTCTTCAACACATGATTGTGAAATACATTTCATAACTTAGCGCTTAAGGCCCGACCTTTTAGTGCTCAGTGCACTCAATTACAGCAGCAGCTGTAGGTCATTTTTCACTGGCAGCACTGCGCTATTAGGAGAAATATTAGCAGTATTGGACCTAACTGTGTATTTATAAGGAGCCTGATATCCCGTGCTGCTTTCGCAGCCCTGGCTGCATCGCGCTGACTGCACACTGGGGAAATTTCCTCCCAGGGCATTTTTCTCCAAACGTACAAGCACTGCTGCTCCCTGACATCCCAGGTTTGAGCAATCTGGTTAGCAGATATGACAAAATTTGGGAATATATTTAAACACAGGGCTGTTTTTGCATGGGAGAGATGCACAAATCCCCTGCTCTGCCGAAGTATTGTGCTGTGCTTCCCTCGTGCTAAAATACCCCTTTTCCCAGCCTTGCTAAACTTGTCAGGACAATGTACGAGCAGAAAGGCAGCTATAAGTCATCCCCGTTGACTTATTGTTTGTTTGTTTCTCCCCGTGAGATGGAGAAGATAAAAGCAGAAAATTCCCAGTCTTTTTTTTTTTTTTTTTCCCAACGCTCCCTTTTGGATCAAAGGCAGCACTTATTAAACCCACGTGGGCTCCTTGCGAGTGCCCGGGTCATGAARCGCTTTCCGTGGGCTTTACCCTGAGGAAGCCCCTGCAGCGCCGGGGGCAGCACCTCCAGTGCAGCGTTCAAGGACACGGAGGTGCTGGAGCGTGTCCAGAGGAGGGCCGTGGGGCTGGGAAGGGGCTGCAGCTCGCGGGGAGCGGCCAGGCTGACGGGGTGGGGGGTTCAAGGAGGCTCCCCCAGAGCTCACAGCTCTGCTGCTACCCCAGAGGAGGCTGCAGGGAGGGGGGTCGGTCTRTCCTGCGGAATAACTGCCGCAGGACCAGAGCAAGCGGCCTCACGTTGACCTGAGGTATTAGCCAGGCCTCAGGCTGGGTATTAGCCAGGCCTCAGGACGGGTATGAGGAAAGCGCAGCCAAGCACCAGACAGGCTGCCCGGGGCAGCGCTGCAGCCCCCGTCCCACGCAGTGCTCAAGCCCCGTGCGCACGAGGCGCCCCGGGACACGGTTTCCAGGCAGGGCGGGGACGGGTCGCGGCTGGAGCCGGCGGCCCCGCCGCCCTTTCCCAGCCGTGCC